TCGAGCAGCTCCGGGTGGATCTCATCCACCCCCGGGGCCCTGCCACCGAGGAGCTTTTTAACCACCTCGGCGACCTCGCTCACAGAATCCCAAATAAGAGAGGTTAAATGCTTGTGTAAAAAAAATTACATGCACAATTAGCGGGGGTGCTGCAGGTAACGTACTTGTGAATGAAATGAATGAAAGAAGGTCTAACAATGGTACTGATGACTCTATTTGAATAAGGATTCTAAATGCATTACTATGGGGACTGTAGGAGAGTAGAGTGTACATATATTTTCCATGTCACAAAGGGATTTGCAGTAGCACTGCGCACAGATGTTAGTTTGATCTCTACCGATTGTAAAGAGATGGAGGAAGAGGAAAAGAGTTTGAGGCTTTATACAGTATTTCAATAAAACTCAATGCTATTTCTGATATTTTGGATTGAGCTTCCTGGATGGGAAGCGAAACGTCTTCAAAGTCGGAAACAAAGTCCAGTGGATTGTTTTTTTTACTTTTTTGGAATGACTATAATCTGGATGACTGAGAATCTTCACCAGATTTTTGATCATAATATCTATTGAAGACAAACACATTGCGTCTATTCAATGCTTTCAAGACATGAGTAGACCCAGGAAGTAGAATATCTAACTCCCCTTCAATAGATGATCTGCATGTTCTGTTGTACAGACTTGTATTAGAAAATCATTAACATTAAGACGCTCAGTTACATTTACTTAAGCAAATTTTTGAGAAAAATATATATTCTTTTCTGCATCGTACAATTTAGTTTAACTTGAGAAATTATATGATGAGGTATCACTACTCATACGTGAGTAAAATGTCTGGCTACCCTACCCATCACGAGTAAATGATTATCAGGCTTGTTTTAAGCAAAAACACACAAGAAACAAACCTACAGGGTTTGCCTAAGTAACACTTCCATTTTAATCTCCAGCTTCATTATTTTCTATTTGCTGATCCTGCCATTTCATTTGGAGGTCAAGTGGAAATGCAGCAAACAGTTTCCTGTATCATGTTACAGGCAGGAACCTTACACTAATCCAACCTACATACATAACATACTATCAGTAATGAGGTCAGATATTTTATAGCAAGAATGTCTTGGAAAATACATTTTGAAACGTTTATCCTAGCTGAAATTATTGTGTAATTACTGAATGTTCTGTTTGTTTATATCATTTTCAAAAGTTGCAGATAACTTTATCTGTTTTGTTAATTTACATAATTTTCAAATCCTTAAATCAGAAGCTATGATCAGTTAAACACTACTTAAGTAGCCTTTTTACTATTTTCTCTTCTACTCTTTAGCAATGTATTGGCTGGCTACTTTTTACTTTCAGTTGAGTAAAAATATGATAAAGTATAGCTATTTTTTCTTGAGAACTAATTTTAAATACTCTACCCACCTCTGATGATGAACTACTCTAAGTAATACAGATGAATAAGGCAGAAGTAAATGTACTGATGTGCATCTTTCCACAGCTATAGGTTATATTTTGTAAAAATAAACAATCCTGTTTGGCTCAGGATGTAGTACATCTTTGAAGTTTTGAGCCCTTCTGTGATTGATTTTAGATCAAAGCATATGGATCATGCGTCAGAACGGCCTTGGCTAATGCCAGATCTAAATTAAACTGAGAATCTGTGGAAACTTCAAAACTGGAGCTCATAGATGTTCTTCTAAACTAACTTCAGCTATTTTGCAAAGGGGGGCAGAACAAGCTTCTCGAGCTCTGGTTGAATAAAGCTGCTTGACCCAAAAGGTTTTTCCTAAAGGTGGTTATGCAAACGACGAACCACAACAGATATGAACTTAAATGCACACAACACTTTTTGAACTTCACATTGCAAAAAACAAAAAAGGAAACCATGTAATCCTTTGCATTCTTCTGTATACACAATGCAGCTGGTTTAAGCATGTGCAACAACCTGAAGGCAACTGGCTGCTGGTGTGGGAATGCAAGCTCCTCGCCTCGCGAATATGATCTCATCCAGATGCTCCAGGTCATTTTAGGTACACGTTGCAGCTCTTGCTATCAAATAACAATACATCTATGTACTTTGTGCTCCATTTCAGGACTGAAACCTGCAAGCCCCGCCCTCCAGGAAGAGGTGAACTCGTTGCGAACCGGCACCTGGAAAAACCCGTTTAGCTCAAATCACTTTGCACCTGTTCAGCAGCTCTCTGCGGTTTGTTTGTTTATTTTTTTAACCAAGAAGATCAGTTCACAGCAACCTGTCATGTGACAATTAATTCTAGCTCTGGAGCTGAACGCAAAAAAAAAAACAACAACCAAAAAACAAATGTGGAAGTGTCTCAAGCGCTGCAGTTAATTTGCAACTGTTTGTGTTGTCGTGACTGGGGCCTGCTGTTTAACACTCAGCTGTGATGAAACACTTACATAAACGTGTGACTGAGAGCGAAGACCAAACTCCAACAAGCCTGTCAGTTGGAGAAAAAGCAAACCAGAAGAGGCAGAAACTGTAGACAAAATAGCAATTTATTAATAACTTATCTTTCTTATACATTCAGAAGGGAGGAGTGGGGGGATCACCAACATGGCGACATCTGAAAGGCGTATTTTTTTCGTATTTCAAACTCTAATTTCCACTTCTCACAATCCTGATAAATTCAAAACTGCATTTCAAAATGTTTACCCTGAAGAAGCTTTGACCACACTTCAGATTTAACCCTTGTGCAGAGGGGTAGGATTGTCTACATCAGTATGGAGCTAAATGGGTGCCATAAAGTTAGTTCAAAAAGATGCTTTTGTTTAAACTGAAAATAAATAATTAGAAATTTTTTCTCTTAAAGTGAAAAAAACTGAAAGAAAACTTTAGAAAGAGGACAGGATATTTGAATCTGAACAATATATTTTTTTAAACTCAAGAAAAAAATCTATACTTAAAAAAATATATATATAAGACTCAAGTCTTTTTTTAACCAGTCGAATAAACACAACTGGTTGATTATGCTTCAAAGACATCTTTTAATATGTTTGTAACTGAAAAAACAAAACTTAAAGCTGCAAAAATGTTTCTAAAAAAATATCCAGTTTAATTAAAATATTTTCTTTTTCATTTAAAATGTTTCATATCCTTTTTTTTTTTTTTTTTGTTCGTTTCCAAAAAGTTTTTTATGGTTACAAAGAAAAAAAAACAGTTTTTTAAAACAAATTTTATGGCCCAAATTTAGCTCCATACCTAGACCCGGACCGCTCACGGTTGGCCGTTTGATTCAAGCTATCATTAAAGATGCTCCAAAACTTAAAAGGAAAATCTGAACAATAAATCAGGACTTGGATACAAAGCAGAAAAACATTTAAAGCCTAGAAGGATAAAGTGAAACAAAACTTGTGAATGTTCGTAAGGCAAACAACTGTTTTGTGAGAGGGGAGAGTGCAAAAAGGCCAAAAATAAAACAAACAAAAAAAGGCCGGTTGGCTGAATTGATACATAAAGCAATATGGATATATACATATAGATATATTACACATGTACACATTTCTGAACAATTCTTGGAAAGCCTTTTTGATTTTTTGGCATAATCAACTTAAGAATAATGAACGGTATGCAGTTGGAAAGCTTTACATAAAACTAGAATATGAAATACAGATTCTTTAGTACCTGCTTCCAAAGGGTACGTACTCTCTCTTACATTAAAATATGTACACAATGTACAGTATAAATGTTTGAAAAGTGTAAAAATCAGTCCAGTATACTGTGTGCCTTCTAAAGCTGGGGTGCTTTACCCCACACAGGCGATTCTTCACAGAAGATGAAGGAGGGCAACGCACCCCCAAGTCCTGGGCGATAAACCCCAAAACAAAATATACAAAATGGTTTTCAGTCCAGTCTGAGCAATCAGGTCTCTTTGGCACACCAGCCTAGGATCTTTGAAGCAGAACATACAGCTCTTGTTCGCTTTTCTTGGATACAACAAGAAAAATAAAAGAAATACCTCAAGAGTTCAACCGGAATATGATTGTAGAAAGTAGGAGTTTTTTTTTGTTTTTTAATGATTCTGTTGCTTTAACTGTCCATCCTCACTCAGACAGCAGCAGCTGCTGTACTGACCAGGCTGCTCTAGCACTTCTACTCAGCAGCTGTCACCCTCCCACCCAAAAAAACAGCTGCATCAGGATCCAGAGCCAGTTCCGCAAAGCAGATGATGGAGAAAAGATTTTTTGAAACTTTTTTTTCAAAGCAGAGGAAACAATTGAGCTAGAGGGGCGCTTGTAGGCAGACCTCACGTAGACTGTAGGGGGTCCAGCTGGAAGACGTTGTGGTTTGTGGGGGTGGTGAAGTACAGCTGCTGGCTTGGAGGCGCCAAACGGTTGTCACAAGGGCTCTTCAGGCCCAGCGTGCGCTCAAAGTCCAGGAGCTGGCCCATGAAGTTGAAGTTGGGGGAGATGTTGGATTTCTTCATCTTCACAATGTCGTAGGCATCGTTCATGGACAGGTTGAGCTTCTGCATAAGGTAGGCCACCGTCACGGTGACTGAGCGGCTGATGCCGGCCAAGCAGTGGACCAGGACGCCGCACTTCTGACCCCGAGCTTCATCTGGTTTGCAAAGAGAAAGAAGATTTCGGTTAATATCGAGATGGTGAAAGCCGCAACATGAGGATGGAAAAGAAATGGTGGATGGAATTAATTTGGCTCTGTTTTCACAGTTTGACATTTTTAAACAAATTTATGCTCCTAAAGTTCAGAGGTTGTATGGAGTGACTTTCGTTCCATTATTTGCTGCAGAGAAAGAACACATCTTGTAAATAGAAATATATCAAAAATGCAAAAATAATAAATCTAATAATGCTAATAAAAAATCTTCCTGTTTTCTAATATTTGTTTTTCTTTTTGTTTTTACCAAATAAAACTTACATAATTTAAAAGGTTCTTTTTAAAAAATGTTCTTTATCTGATTGATTTTTATGAATTTCTTTCTATTTAAGGTGCATTTTACAGATCAGAGTCTCTTCCTTCAAGCCCAAAATGAACTCTCAATCTTGACCAATAAAAAAGCTGCTGCTAATGTCCAACAGACCAATAGAAATGTGAATTTCCTCACTCCAGAGGAAAGGCCGCCCCCAAAGGTGAAGAGAATGCAACTTAAAAAAATAACAGTTACTATCAAAATCCATTTTTGCGTTTCAAAGTTTCACTTCCGTTTTTTTTTTTTAATATGCATTTACTAAATGTGTTTTTTGTTTGTTTTCTTTCCTTCAAATTTTCATCTAAAAAGCATCCTCTTTGTTCGCACTAATAATGGAAAAAAAATTCCCTCCATACCATTGGCCTTTCACCTTGTTTTGCATTGTGACGCTGATGATTCAGTTATCTACCCACACTACTAAAGAGCATAATAAACATCCGCCTCGGATTAGAGGAGGGCTGACATCCATGCATGGGAAAAAAAGTCAAAAGTTTTCACCCTGTCTATCTGTCAGTGGTGTCTATGAACAACCAGGAGCGACAGCACAAAAAAAAACATCAACATTCTCCCTTGTTTGGTCCTGGAATAGCTGGCTGGGAAATTGACTATTACAGTCTATTAGAGCATTCTTCCGCTTGCCCAGGGTTGGTGTGACAATGGTGCCATTTGAGCGTGTAAATGTAAGAGTCATGAGGGCACCCTGTCAAGGCAAACAGGATGTCAACAGGCCTTGTAAATGGCTCCTTTTGTTATGCGGAGGAAGAAGAGGGATAGGGAGAGGAGGGGTGCTCATGTCCTAGATTACTTTCAATGCCACTTCCTTCCTGTTGCACTCGAATTACCCCCCCCTCCCCCTGTTTTCAACGCTGCTCTTTGTGCTGCTATTACACAAGCCCCGGGACCACAGATAGCCCAGGATGTCCCCCATTGAAGTCAAATCACTCGTACGCTGGGCGTTTTAGCCCTTTCACCATCAGAGGCACACTTGTACTGCTGCTTCAGCATGGTGGCCTTAATCTGCCTGCCCTGCGTGTTCCTGCCTGATAAGACAAAAGCCAGGGACAACTCATCTAATCTAAATTGCACAATAAGAGCCTGAGAACCTCCAGACGGACTTTAAAACATATATTAATAAAATTATTCACTTTTTTTTTTACTACTACTTCCTCCATTGTGTTTAAATCTTTTATTGCATCTAATCTGTGGATAATCTCTCTGGTTTTCCACCGACTTTCTTCAGAATATGTAAAGATTTCCTCCTATCTTCCAAACCCAAGACAGCAATTAATGGATGACATTCTAAACTGAGGATTTCTTTTAAATTAGAAAGTTTTCACTTGGTTCAAACAGTTAACCTAGTTAGCTGTCCTTTAAATGGGGTGGTGTGCAGACTCATACTCCAACAATAATGCTGTTTGCCATTCCTATGTTATTACAACAACAGCTGATTTATTGTATGTTTTTTTAGGTGGTTGAAAATGATTTCTAGTGTTGATAGGTTGTGCACTAATACCACAAAACATTGCACATTTTATAATCTTCATCTAGATCTTGTCGATACAAAACTTTGGTAATCAGATATTCGTGAATAGAATTCACATTTGTACACCCTTTCACCTATTGTTTCTAAAAACAACCCTATGTTGTTCAAACAGGAAGTGTTTTTCATCTATCTGTATGTAAGAAGCCTGTAGTGTTTGTTTGGCCCTCCATAAGGAACCACATCACTATTATTGTGAGAACCAACTGATGACCCACAAGTTGGTTTAAGGGGCCTCAAGCCCTTACTTTGGGAACCCCTGATCAACAACCCCTAAATGAGGAAAAGCTTAGCAGCCAGTTTTCTGTCAGGATGACCTACCGATGAAGCTGATGGCCTCGGGGAAGAACTGGGAGAGGTTCTGGCTCCAGTGGTCCGAGATGGGGATCTGTTTGTACTTAAACTCCCCCGCGTTCTCGAACAGGTTGGGCAGGTTAGGCGTCACGTTGAGGATGTACTTGATGCCATATTCCTCCAGAACATCCAGGTTGGTGGAGTCTTTGGCGCAGCCCAAGTAAAGGTGCGGGAGGATCTCCACGGGGAAGGAGGGCTGCGGGTTGGACAGCGGGCTGCCGTCTGAGTCCGTGGCGCTGCTCGGGTCGATGTCCGATTCGATGTCGGATGAGTCGGAGCTGATGCGCAGGCCGCCCAGGCCCAGCACCTGGGTGGAGGTGGGAGAGGAGCTGCTGCTGGTAAAGGATCCATCCAGGTTGGTTTCACATAAGGCTGGATACTCAGCCTGGAATTTGCTGAAGCCACCTTTAAAAGAAAGTCAAAAATAAACTTCACATTGAGATGCAAAACATGCATTGTCAACGTATAAAGTGGACAAAGTACAAAAACAGTTTCATGAATATAGGAATAAAAACAAATCTACGGAAGAGGATTAGGGCCACTGAAAAAATAAAAAAAGTTAACCGATTTTTACATTTTATTTCAGTTTAACATGGGGGAAAAAAGTCAGAATTCTGACTTTCTGACGTAAATCTAAGAATTCTGCCTTTTTTCTCATAATTCTGAGGTTTTTGTTATAATTCTGACTTTTTTCTCAGAATTCTTAATTATATTTTCAGAATTCTGATTTTTTTCTCTCAGAATTCTGACTTTTTCCCATATTAAACAGAAAAAAATTGAAAAATCAGTTAACTCTTTTTAATCTTTTCAGCGGCCCTAGTCCTCTTCCGTACAGATCGGACATGAATGAGTGTAAAAATGTGAATGGAGCCCACTCACCCTCCAGGTAAAAGGCCTTATAGCCCTCGTCCTTCATTTTCCTCAGCAGCAGACCCAGCACCGACCCTCCGTCCACATTCTCGTTCCACTCCCGGCTGTACTCATCGTACAGCACTATGGTGTCCGTCTTGCAGCGGCGGACGAACCTCTCTCGGTCTCCTCCGTCGGTGAGGAGGGAGCGCACCGGCAGGTTGCCCTTCTTCAGCCGCCGCAACATCAGGCTCGGTATGGCCACGTTGATCGCCGTCTCGACGTGCGAGGATTCGTAGAGCTCCTGGGCCCGGCAGTCCATCACCAGCAGGCCGTCCCTGCGGCTCTCCAGCTGCTCCCGGAGCCAACTCACCGTCTTGCTGATCGCCATAACCGAGTCGATCTGTACAACGGGCTTGAGCTTGTCAAGCATTTATAAGCAGGAGTTAAAAAACGCAGTTTTCAGGGAAGAAATGTAAAATTTGGTTTCGATCCGAGCCGATGCTCAAAGGAACAGAAACGTGAGATGTGATCTCTTCTTAGGAAAAGAAAAATCAGTTTAAACGCGAAAGGTATTTAGGCTCATTCATGCATCTGCCTGAAGAGTCCGATTTATTTATCAATGAGTCACAGCGGCCTCCTTCTGCTCTTATATAATAACTCCACCGATTCCAGGCGCAGCCGCTTTCCAGCCTCCGTATTATTTTTGTTTTTGCACAAAATAAACAAAATCCAGAGTGAAACTACAGATTATTGTGAGGAAATGTCTTCCCGCTGTCCTCCTCCTCGGCTCGTTGTGAATAGAAGCTCTGCAGGCTGCTGGAGTCCTCTGCGGCGCCAGGCTGCTGAATGGCTGCAGACACCAGGCGTCCTCATTGGATACGGTCTGTTGGCGGACCAATCAGAGGGAGCTCAGCGGCGGTCGCCTTGGAAACGGGGGCCGGATAGAGCGGCTAGCGTTGATGAATTGTTAATGAGTTTGTCATTCACAAAAACGGAGAGGAATTTCGGCTCCGGATGGAGCGAGTACAAACAAACAGCAGTGCTGCAGGGAGGAGGAAGGAAGGAAGGAAAGGAGGGAGGAAAGAGGGAGGGAGGGGGAGGAAAGGAGGGAGAATGGCCCAAAGTCAGAGGAGGAAGAAGGACTAGCAAATGGTGTAATGCAGGGCTGGATTTAGGAGGATTTGTGTCTTTGGGCTAGAAGCAGTTTTGGGCCTTTAACCCACCACTTTCTTTTAGATGTGGGAACAGAAAAGGATAAGGCACACAGGAACCTTTTTAAAAGAAACAAAGCTGTCTACTTTTTAGAAAATAAGTGAAATCCATATTAAAACTATAATTGTAAAATACAAACCATACAAATAAAGTCAAAATCACAAAGTAACTTTTTTTAAATCAAATATATTTAATTAGTTGGATTATTCTATTTCCAATAATTCTGCTTAGATGGGTTACATTAATGTATTACTGATTTAATTAAATAATTTCCCTATATTTAAATACCACCAAAGAGAAATCAGTTAGCTCATACGGTCACATTGCTTCAACATTTTCTAAGGAAAATCATGTATCCTGTCATTCACTTTGCAGGTTGTTGTTTTTCATTTTATTGCATGCGGCAACAGTGGATATTTGCATTGTGTCACTGACTCTATATCAATCCCTCACACCTTGCTAGCATGCATGCTGCGACAGTGGAGAGGAAAAACTCCCTTTTAGAATCATCCTGTTGAACCAGGCTCAGTGTGAGTGGCCTTCTGCTGAGGCAGAAACAGACACACAAATAGAGCATAGAAGCACACAAACAAAAATGGTGGCGCTCATAACATTCAGGAACTTATCTGACTGCATAGGGTCCTCCACCCAAATATTGAAAGCCTTGATCTCTGCATCATCCCAGGTCTCACCACACTCTTTTGATGCCATTTATTGTTAATAGGCTGAGAAGAGGTTTGTGTTGTGAACAGGTGAAGAGATCTGTGAATTGCAGAAAACCTTTTTTTTTATTGTATTTACTATTTCTGAAACCCAACAACAACTTTTTAACATTTTAGTTTCAGTGTATTATTAGTCCATCTTAATCCTATTAATAGTTTAGCTACAGCTTAGAAACGGCTTAATAACATTTAGTAACAGCTTATAAAAAAATTGTTAACAGATTATCACCAGTTTATTAACAGCCCATTAGCAAAAGTTAAATGGAAAAGGGAAATCATTAAGAGTAAAGACGGTAAAGTATTTTTTAAATCAAATTCATGAATAGTATTTTTTTTCTGTCTGTATTTAGAAATGGAAAAATAAGGTGCAAACGTGTTTTTAGTATTAAATAAAAATGTATGATTTTAAATGACGAATTTGAAATAATTGTATTTTATTTTCACTGACTCTCCTGGTCCTCCACAGGTTTCTACTGAATTGAAATCACAAATCACTTTACACCTTCTATGAAGATCTACTCTGCGTGTACAAACATTTTCCCACTGTTTTAAGACATCCAAACCTTCTGAAGATCAGGTACTAAATGTTCAAAATCTAAAGTGAGCTGGACACATTCAATAGCTTGTTTGTTTTTCGGTGTTTTTTGTCTGAACTGTAGTACTGCGGCTGTTTTAGGCATCCGGGCTGGAGGAGTTGCTGTTTGTTAGCATATGAAGTGTGTAGAGGCTCCAAAGTTAACATTGGCCTTTGGCCCCCAAACTGCCTCCACCACTGCTACCTCCTCAGGCATGACAGAAGTCGCAATGAAAGAAACCAAGCTGTTCCTATTCACCTTCAAATGAATTCAGGTCTCTTTCAGCATACTGGTTCCCCCCCGCTCTCTGCCTTTCACCCTTCTTCTACCTTCTCCCTCCTCCCTGCTGCTCGCCCTATTCTTCTACAGCTGCCTGTCTTGTTTTGCCCTTTGCCCCCTCGTTCTCTTCGTCCTTCCTCCTTTGTGGTTTATCTCCCCCCTCCGCTGGGCCTCTGCTAAGAAATCTGGTGCCTGTATATTCCTCATGGAAGTCTGATGGTGTTCAAATGCACCACCTGCCACATTTTAAAGATCATCCTCTTTGGGTGGGAAGATCAAAATAGTTAAGTTAAAAATGGACTTCCACACGACCTCATTTATGAGCTAATTCGGTAGGGGGAAGAAAAATGTTTAGTCAATAACCCTTTTATTATTGTGTTTACTTTGATGTGCTAAAATGTGCAGCTTAGCCCAACGTTTGCATCAATTATTGAAAAGATCTAAAATACATGATATTATAGTCCATAATTTTCTTGTCTGGAAACCTAAAACTCTCAAATATTACCATTTTCAATGTACTTCTACATTTTTGTTTCTAGTTCTTGTTGTACAGAGTAGGCTGCAAATAGAAGACCTGTTTCCCTGGGAGGTTGATAGACTGACAACAAATACATCTGCTATGTTTTTAGGTTCTAATCCATTCAGTGATGTATAAACTAACAGAACTAAACTGAGTGGAAAGCCCAACAACATAATTTGAAAAGAATGCAATTCATAATGCTCTATCTGAAAGACAGAAATATGAACACATCTAATTAAAAAATATACAAAAAAAAGCATAGTTCCTCAATACCTAATAATTACCATCTAGATAAATGATTGTACCAAGAACACTGGCTCAGTTCACAGTACTACTTAAATAAACATCATATCCACACAGTAACTTTTTCTTTAACCACAAAAATACAATTGCTTTGATCTCTTTAAACCCCAGTCGGCCTCAGCAGATGTCCGCTCACACTGAGTCAGGTTCTGCTGGAGATTTCTTCCTGTTAAAAGGGAGTTTTCCTCTCCACTGTCTCCACATGCATGCCCAGTGTGACTGATTGCTGCGAGTCAATGGGTGTTTTTCAATATGTATACTTGTGCATTCTCATGTGCTAGTGAAACGTCATCAGCCTCAGCCCTAGCACTGTTCAATTCAATTCACAAGAACAAAAGAGAGAGAACGGACTAAGTCCCTGGATGTTGTTCTTGCCCTTCCCTCTTTACTGAGCATGCATCAGAGCAGACTTGTCCATTCTCAAGATTGACAGCTGTCCCAGCATGCACTGCGGCGGCAGCAGCTTCCAGTGGAGCGCTCACAGAGCTCAGAGTTAAAAGATCTCTTTTCTGTTTTAGTTTTTTTCTACAAAAGTACGTTTTACGATAATTTGAGGTGTGAACATTATACTTTTAAACGTCACTATATGGCCCATTTACTGATTTAGTGCATCATTTCAATAAGTTCAGATGTTAAGAGGGGCACGGCAACCAGCGGACCTCCGAGTCTAACCGCAGCCAGGGCTAACCTTAGACTGTACGTTTGGTTTGTGTTTATCTGATTGTGTTAATAGTTATTCTCACACTAAGTGGAAACTAAATGAAAAAGTCATAATTTATTATTATCTAGAGACTATTAATTACAGGAGGTGAAATGCAGCCCCAGGCTAACTTTGAATGTGGTGATGTCACAAGAACGCTTCTGTTCCAATTGACCCATATTTATTCTGCGTGCTAGCGTTCTACAGTCCACACTTCCCTGTGTTCTTGTCAAAACAAACTTTGCAAGAACACAAGTCCATATTTGCGTTCTTGTCAATTGAGAAACGGCAAATGAATTGATGCAATCAGCTGGTTTTCCTTAGATAGAAAACTCTGAACTAATGTGAGTGTATGATCTGCTGGGATTGTCTCTATATAGTGCCTTGAGATGACGTGTGTTGTAAATTGGTGCTATAATAATCAAATTAATTGATATTGTCTCCATTTGTCCTTTTTTATCACAAACATGCACTAATTGGTCTGTAGCTTAATCTTCCAGTGGAAATGTTTGTGTGATTCTTTCTGTGTCATGAGGAACATGACACAAACCGAGGAAGTGAATATGCCTTCTCATGGCATTTCTTGTCTGACTGCAGCACAGAGACAGACAGAGGCGGACAATGAGAGAGCGTCTGCATACGTGGACGGTTTCAAAACACTGAAGTTAGTGCATGATGCACAGGAAGTCTGTGTTTGCACTTGACACAGTAACTAGGTATTAAGTGTTCTTACAAGTCAAAAGGAGAAGGAAAAGCAATCGCACAACCGCAGTGCTGAAGGCCCCAGGCACAAACACAAGACCTAGATCTTTCTACATCTGCTGTAATGATTCCCTCCCTGATTGTCTGTTGTAGCTTATAAGATCCTGAGGAAGATGGTTTCTCCTTTTAGGCCCAAAAATCTAAAATGCTTAGGAAATACAACACAAATAAAAGCTGCTTTTTCAAACAGATAAACTTTGACAAGATTATTCTACAAGATTATTCTACACATATTAGAAATACCTAGCTTGACTTTTGTGATTCTGAACCTTTTTTCTGTAAATACCAAAAAAAAATGATTCTTTGTTTTCACCAAAATATTGAAAGTATATCTCTATTTCCCAGAAGCCAAACATTGTGGATCATCTTATAAGCTGAATGTACCAATACACCCCGTTTAGTTTAAATATAAGGTGGGATTGACTTCCTCTAAAAGTAATCATTCAAAACAGAAAAGGTTGTCATTGATCAGACTGATCATTCCTAAATTCTTCACGAGTTTTGTTTAGTCATAAAATAACCCACCTTAAACACAGCAGAGGGAGGTGGGGGTTTAGGGCTTGGGGGGAGACTGGCCCACCCTGAAATCTGATCGCCGAGCAGATGACTGACCATACTTGGTGCTATCCAAAGGCGGAAAGTGCCAAAAGGAATCAGTCAAGTAAAAGTCAAACCTGGATAATATTTTTACTCAAATACAAATAAAATTGTTTGCCAAAAGAAAAACTGACCAAATCAAAATCTACCAGCATCTGTACTATTGGAGCCTTATGT